TCACCACTCACTTCATACTGAAGGATGCCGTCGTCAACCCTGCTACTGAACAGTCAATTTGACAAAAAACTGTTTTAATTGTTGGGAAGTACGAGGATATATTAAGTGGAAATGGTATGTTTATCGTTTATTTTCCTTGAGCAGCCTTGTAGGCCTCATAGTAAACCGCCATCCCATCAGTCGCCGAGGCTTTACGAGGAGCCCAACCTAGAATGGTGCGGGCAAGGGTAGGCCTCAGTTTGGAGCTACGGTGGATGTCAGCTAAGAAATGATTGAAATATGACAAGTGCTCACGTCGCAGCCATGGCTTCCTCGAGCACGTTTGCAGGTTCCCGATACGAAATTTTATCGAATGGGATTCCAGCTACCGCTGCAAAAGCATATAACATCCCTTCAACTGACTCTGTTTGTTCATTTGAGCAGTCAAGGATGAGTCCATAGATGAGGTGGTTCTACAATATCTCGGTAAGCTTCTCTATCATGGCTAGTCAACACTAAGCTCACCTTCTCTGCAGCCAGCAAGAAAAATTCTGCGACATCATCAACGTGGACTGTGGCGTTGAATGCTCCTGGCTTGGAGAACCAGCTGAGCTGTCCAGATTCACCTTGAGAGTACAAGAAACCGAAGAGACCGCCACTTCGACCATAACAGCAAGAGGGGCGAATGACAATACCACGAACGGCCGTACTCGCGATCACTTCTTGTTCAAACGCGGGCCGCCAAGCGACAATGGATGCGGGGTTTGGCAATGGTGAGCTATCAGAGCGGAAAATATTGCGGTCATCACCATGGACCCAAGTTCCGGAAGTGTAAATGTAGGCTAATTTTGGAACGCCTGGAGCTCGGACAGATGCCGCAGCGGTCTCAACGGCGTTGAACAGTTTCTTTGCGCTCACCCAGATGTCGCCAGCTGTACAGTCGATGACTACATCTGTATCCGCAAGATGCTCACTCCACAGTGAGGGGTCGAAGATATCTCCAATTAAAGGGATAACTTTGGGGAAATATTAGAAGATTGAGGGCGAGGCATTTTGGACTCACCTTCGTTAGCCCTCATAATCTGTGCTTGTTTCTCGCTGCGAGAGACACCAACTACGACATGACCATTGCGAATGAGGGCATTGGCTAGATGGACGGAAGCGATATCAGCGAAGGAATGTCAACAGGGTTCAGCTATTTCGACTGCTCACCGGTAGGGAGGCCAACATACCCAGAGGCACCGAACAAGAGGACTTTCATTTTGAACTGGGGGACTGGAAAGAGATGGAGAACTGGTGGTCGCTTTCGACCTTGGTGGGAGTGGACTATTTATACCTCTTGACGCGTTCACGGACCATAACCTCATTCGGTAGTTCTCAAACGTCCGATTTGCTGACAATGAGATGCTACGGCCAGGTTCGCCATACCCACCGGACAATTATCTCATCGTCTCCACCCTTAGTCAGGTCAGGAATGACATTGGTCCAATTTCTCGAGAGGCACTGGAGGTTAGTATCAATCTAGTGTAT